CTTGCAAGACTTGAAGTACTTTGCTCCATGCTCTTCTTGACTTGATGGTTTGTGAAGAAAAATCTGCCGTTATTCTGATGGGTTTTCCTTTAAATGTGATCTGTGTCTTTTCTTTAGCGGCTTTTAGTATACTGTTCCTATGCACACTTGGACTTTTGACCAGAGTATTCCCTACAATCCCTGGACGTTATATACCCAAGTTCTTTAATTTTATAATGAATAATGTTTATTTACACTAAGATTCATATGTATTTAACACACACAGTATCTCCTTCAATAACATGTTTTAAATTCAGTATCTAAAGGCAAATAAAAAAGCCATTAATACTTTTAGGTAATTCCACATAACAAATTAGTTCCATTTACCTGTAAACGTTTATCCAAAAATGCCATCCCTCCTTGTAGTCCATAGCTGTATTCATAAGGGAAACTCCAGTCTCGAACCAGAAACATGAGTGTCTATTTAGGAAGAGAGTAGAACGTATGACTTTGCCTAAGTTCATTTTCAAGATAATAATTGCACTATTTCTTTGCATTGTACCAATTTCTCCAAAGGAAGCCAGAACATGTGCTGAAAGATTTATCTATTCCATAATTTAGAAACTTCATCAATAACAGAAGGACATGTTTAGTCAAATATGGAGTCAATTTATCATAACTGCTAGTTTCATCCCCAAAGTTTATGGAGACTTTTGACACAATATAAATTTGGGGCTCTTCTCTAAAGGCAAGTAGAACTTAGTAAAGGACAAGAAAGAAAACAAAGAGGCACCAGCTAATAATCAGATCTGCTACCTACATTAGAAAGAAAAGGAAAGAGCCTAGTTTGGCAAGCACACATCTACCTGACCCCCACAAAAAGCAAAAGAAATAATGCTCATGAATTAATGTACTCTAGCCTTACTGAGGCTCAAGCAAAGGTCAGCAAATGTATTCTGTAAAGGCCAGAGACTAAATATTTTAACCAGCTCCTGAATTCTGCCACAGTAGCAAGAAGGCAACCACAGCTGATGGATAAACAAATGAGCATGCTGTACGCCACTAATATTTTAGTTATCCACACTGACATTTGAAATTCAGATAATTTATACATGTCAGAAAATATTTTTTTCATTTCTTTTTCATCCATTAAAAATATAAAAACTATGAACTGGAATACAGCTCAACAGTAGAGCACTTGCCTACTAGCATGTATGAGTCACTGGGTTCAACCCTCAGCACTGCACAAAATGCATACATACACATATAAAAGCCATCTTGAGGCCAGGCATATAGCTCAGTGGCACAGTGCCTGCCTGGCAAGTACAAGGTCCTGAGTTTGATTCCCAGTATCCCCCCCAAAGAAAGGCCATCTTTAGTTCACAGGTCATAAAAACAAACAGAGGGCCAGGGAGATATAGCTCAGTAGAATAAGCGCTTGCCTGGCAAGCTCAAGGGCCTGAGTTCAATCCCCGGTTCCGCAAAAAAAAAAAAAAGATTTATTAAAAAAATAAAGGGGCCAGGGAGATGGCTCAGTAGAATAAGCGCTTGCCTGGCAAGCGCAAGGGTCTGAGTTCAATCCCCAGTTCCGAAAAAATAAAAATAAAAATAAAAAATAAAACAAACATATAGCAGACCAGATTTGGCCTATGAACTATAATTTGATGACCTGCAAACTAAAGCAAAGATATAAATTACAATCATAGCTAATATTTTACCTGGAAGGGTTTTTGGAAAATTTCATCCATTGCCAGACGACCATATTCTGTGAAGAGCTTTAAAAAAGTAAATTTAAGTTTTATAATTAAAATTATTTAAAATACTTCTATGCTATCCTTTAGCGAAGTGCTCACTTAACAGACTAGATATTACTTATACTAAAACGAATAGACTGATCTGTTTAGTAAGACCCAGTAGACCCTGTACTAAACACATTAAAAAAAAAAAAAAAAGATTATTTTAAGGTTCAAGGCTACTGTATTTTTTTTAAAGATGGTCTCACTATGTAGCTCAGAGTGGCCTTGGACTCATTATGTAGCTCAGGCTCTCTTTGAATTCACAGAATTTCCTCTGCCTCAGGCTCCTAAGTGCTGAGATTATGGGCATATACCATCATTCTTGAACAATGGTAATGGACTTGTGGTGATCCTCCTGTTTTCTGCCTCCCCAATGCTGGGATTACAGGCATGTGCCACCATGCTGTCTCAATCACCTGTGTCCTGGGGGTGGAGCATGGCAGGGATTAAATAATCTTGATCATTCCTCATGCTTATATTCCACATCCCAATTCATCAGTAAACTCAAAATTCAACCACTAATTCTACAAGGTCCCGAATGCTGCAGTAATCTCCCAACTGGTCTCCCCACTTCAGCCCTGGTCACAAGAGACTTCCCAAACAGCAACCACAATGGCTCTGTTCTGAGATTAGACAATAGCACCCCGCTGTGCTCAATCCTACCCCCTCAGTATTAAACTATGTCCCTGGTTCCTTTCTTGTTTTTTGTTCTTCTTTTCTTTTTTTATGATACCAGGAATAAAACTCAAGATCTTGCACTTACAAAGCCGGCGCTTATGCCACTGAGCTATCTCCCCAGCCCTGGCCCCTTTGTTTTTAATGTTCCTTCCCCAGATAGCCTTGGGAACAGCTACCTCACTTCTTCAAGGCTTTACTCAGTGGCTCCCTGAAAAGGAGCCTTCCAGTGCCATCCAACTAAGAAGATTACAACCTACCACATTGTCTGTCTGTCTTTCCTTCCTTTTTAGTACATGCCTTCAATACATGCAGTTTACAATCATCTTGGAGAGTGGTTACATGTACAGACCACAGCATGCTTTTTTTCATTTCTTTCTCATTCCTTCTCCCTCCTTCCATCCCTCCTCTAATTTCCCTATCCCATTTTTCACGATTATTCACATTATTTTTTTTAAATGGGTAATAAATGAAAAAAAAAAAAGACAAGAAAAAGAAAAAACAATGTCACAGGACTATCTTGCCACAATGCTGTATACAGTCAGATTTCTAAATTTCTGTGTAAAAAAAATGTGTTTATTCCTTTTTTTAAAAAATTTTTTTTCTTCATATTCTGTAAGAACTTAAAGTTCAACACATCAATACTTGATGGAAAATACTTGTTGCACGTTATGCCTAAGATGTTTGATATTTAGACAGATAGGGTAAACTGAACTGCATATGTTACAGGGTAATAATAAGCTTCTCTTCTGGAGGGTTAACAACCTAAGTTAGCAGTTCAAAATTGGAGAAAAGGAAGGGCTGTAAGGGCAGCCAACATTTTGGCCCTAGCCTTTCCAGGTCAGTGAAGACTGAGGACATAGGAGAACCTGTACTGTAACATCATGTAACTCAGTTGTGCTCCAAATTTTCTGATCAAGGAGATAATGGAGCCACAGAGGAATGTGATCGATGATGTATAGTGTGCCTAAGGAGAGTCACATGGAGAGAAAACATTCTCTCAGGCTTTCACAGAAAGCAAATTGGTCAAGCAATGGCCATGACTCATCCTCATGGCTGACACTGACAAAGGATCTACAAAATGCAGTGTAGGGTTACA